TCCAAATCATATAATATTAATTACTTTAATCCAAATCAACTTTTCTAATATTAAAATCCAAAAAAATATGAAGCCATATTTATTTGTCTATATTTTAAAAAAATTCACTACAATTTGCGGTAATTTTAAATATCTTTGAAGTCCAATACATAATCGAACTTAATAATTCAAATAATGAGGGCTAAACTACGTTTTATCATCACACTACTAATTTTAAAGATTTAAAATCACCCAATGCTATTAATGTTTTATTTTATTTTATTTTTTTATTTTCGTTGCTCTAGCTAATCGATACTATAGTATTTATATATAGCTTTGAAATAATTAAGCTTTGAATACTTTAGTTCAAGAAAAACATTTATTTTCATAATATAAAGGTGACGGGAAACCCATGTTTTCTTGACCAAGTACAAAAAATTATTATTTATTTATTTTTATTTTTTTTCACATCATCTCATTTAATACAATTTAAGAATTAAATATTAATATTAATATGTACTTTTCTCTATAAAAAATTATCATTCGTACGGTGATAAAGTGCCCACAAGGATTGAATTTTATATTTACATAACTTAGTTTTTGGTCCTAAAATACCAAATTCAATCCCTAACAAATTTCCTAATTAATTTGACATGAATTTTCATCTCATTTGATTCATTGATTGTTAACTACGAAAAAAATTTAATTTAGGCCACCAAACTTGCAAAGACCCCTATAATAATAAGTCTAAAAATGGAGAAACAAATAACTTAAAGAAATAAATATTAATTAAGGAAAATAAAAAAGAGAAAAATTAAAAATTAAACAATCCTTGACTTTTATGGTCCTGAAAGTTGACGGTCAATAATATTTTTCTGAATATAACTTTATGGTATTCCAATCTTTTTTTTTTTTTCAACTATGATACTTATTCATTGAAGTAACTCCAAGTATTTTTTTTTTTTTTACTTTAATTTTCTCATTAGGCGTGCATATTGAGTTGACTTTACCTCGTTAAGATTCGAAAATATACAATTTTATATAATTTTCTAAACTATTACTTTAGTTTGTCTGACTATAACTCAAGTTCAACTCGCTAATGTTAATATATGAGTCAAGTTTATCAACCCGATGAGTTAGCTCAGGCTGGGATTGAGTATCAGGAATTTGAGGTATGCTCAACTCATTTACATCTTTATACATAATTTTTTTTTGCAAATAATAGTTTTCTAATTCAGACGGTCATCAAATTGTCGTTTTCAAACGTCAAGTTATCGGTTTAATCACATAATCATATAATTAATTTTACAAACTGTCTATATATGTTTTTGTTTACTTATAATTATCAATAAAAATATAATATCAACGGAATACAAATAAAAAATAAGTAATCAAATTATATTCCAAGATCTCAATATTATCTTATCTCAAAATAACTATTTACTACATAATTTATTCAGATAACGTCAATTCAAAAATTTAAACAACTTTAATAAAACCGATAGGGGCGACTCTATCAAATAATGCTCCCATTCAGTCAGAGTCGGGTCGACCGATACAATAATGGATTGATTGTGAATCGGCCCAAACGCCCAAACCCTAAAATTTGGGTATGAGTCGATCGAGTTCCTGGTCGACCCGGTAAAAAAGATAGAGTCAATTATTTAAAATAAAAATAAAAATCATGTGTGTTTGTGAGAGATACGCGATTGTATTGACCGATTTTACCATCTTGTGGCTTTGGTCTATGTTTGGTAGACAAATAAACTTACTTATAGTCTATTTAGTTAGCTTATAAGTTCAATCTATTCAAATAAGTCTCGTTTGGTATGACGAACTTTTTTAAGAAGTTCGAGCTTATTTGATAAGTTTCTTTAGGTAGTTTTTCAATTAAATTAGTTGATTTTTTTTCCAACTAGCTTATCACTTAATTTTACTAAACACTTTTATCATATAAGCTAGCTTTTCAGCTATAAGCCATAAACTATATAAGTTCAAAAATTACTGATAAATTATAAACTAGAACAATTAATTTTACCAAACATAGTCTTAAATTAAGAGTGTTGAAATTTTGAAAATCATCAGAAAATGAAATAAAGATACCTTTATTTATTTTTTTCCTTTATTTGCTTGTGAGGTTAATGAGACATATCCATTCAGCCGACATGTAACTTTGTTCAATGTGGACCAAACCCAGTTTTCAATTTTTATATATATTTTCTTTTTATTTTTATATACTTTAGTGGTGGAATTTTTCTATCATATATGGAATTTTGGTGGCAATCAAACAACCCATTTTCTATCAATTCAATTATCCCCACACCAACCATTGTGAGAATTTATTTTATATTCTGACTAGTGGATTTAATTATTCCAAAAAGCTTCTCCAAATATATTGTACATATAATGTTCATAAAGTTGATTTCACGAATATTAACGGAACTATATAAAATTATATAAAAATTCATATTCTTTTAACATTGAGAAGCTAAACTCAACTACCTCGCTAACTAAACAAGCTTTAACGAGCTCGAGCTTGATTCATTTGAGTCGAATTTGAGTCTTACTAAACCGAGCTATTATTAAATTGCATAAAGTTCATATTCTCGAGTCTTAACGAGTTTTAAACGAGCTCGAGTTTCACCGACGACTAGCTCATTTCGTTTAACAGCTTTAACTCTACAAACCGAATTATAATTACTAGTAGGTTAAATGTTTGAACATTAAATTTAAGTTTATAATATAGTTTTCTTTATTGATATTCCTTTTATCTTCATTTCCTATTGACTTTTTTTTTTTTTTTTT